CGAGGTAGGTGGCACCGGGCTGAGTCGGCGTCCCCAGGCGGCGGCGCCTTCCCGGGGCCGCTTGGGTCCGCGGAGAGGGCTGGCTGTCGGGACCAGGTTCGGGGGCCGGCGGGAGGGGAGGGCTGCTGGCCCAGGACTTGCCAAAAGGGACTCTGGCCCAGGGAGAGGGGGTGGGCCCTGGATTTGGGGTGAAGGGTCCGGAAAGGCCTCAGACGTCGCAGAGATTAGGTGGAGGGGTGATCGAAGATCGCGGAGGGGCCCCAGGATCAAGAGTGGGGGACACTGGACAGGCGAAGAAGGTGAGGCCGGGGTTCAGGCGACGGAAAGTTTGGAGGACGATTACGTCTGAGAAAGGGGGTCCCCACGTAGGGTTGGGGGGCAATGGGTGAGAACCTGGCCTCCCTCGATTTCGAGGGAGGAACACAGGTAGGGGGTGGTGGCCCCAGGTCGGGGACTGAAAGTCCGGGACATATGTTTTCCCCCCGCTCGAAGGAATTCCGATGGGGCGCTGGCATAGGCGACCTTTGGTGGTGGAGAGACCCGGACAGGGGTCTGAAGGCCGCGTCCGGGGGGACAGCGCCCTAGAGAGGCCGGGCGANGCAGCGGCGCGGAGCGGGCGAGGGCGGAGGGCGCGGGAGGCGGGTCCCCTGACCCCGCTGGAGGCGAGAAGGCGGATCGGATTTGGAGCTTACGGGAGGCTCTGTGAGAAGCGGCCCCCTGTGCCGCGGGGCCCCGCGGAGGGGCCCGGCTTTGTCGAGGATCAGGGCCTCCCGCCGCACCCCGGTACCTGCGTGTGTGTCGGTGGGTGCCGCCGTGTGTCCGCGCGTGTCGATGCGCCCGCCTGTGAGGCTCCTGCGTACGTGTGCACCGTGTTTCTGTGCACACACCGTATTTCTGTGCCCCTGCGACTCTCTGGGCCTCGAGAGTGTGAATCTGTGCCCGTGTGCCCGATTCCCCTGCACCCGTGGGTGTGTGATTGCGGGCCTTCCGTGCCCGTGTCTCCCGTGGTTTTGCAGGTCTTTGTGTGCACCCCTGGGTCTGTGTCCCTCTACGCGGGCGCGTGTATCTTGGTGTGCCGTCTCTCAGCCTCTGTATTGTGCCTGGATCGGTTTCCGTAAGTGTGTCAGTGTGTGTCTCCGAGTTTCTGAACGATTCAGTGTGCTCGGGTGTCTTTTGGGGGGTTCGGGGGGGTTGTCTGTGTGTCTGGCTCTCTGTCTCCGTGTATTTCTCGGATGCTGTGTGTCTGTATCCAGGACAGTGGATGAGTGGGTGTGGAGTTTTTCTCACACGTCCTCGATCCTCGGTCCCCGAAAGCCCCAGGCCTTGGGCTCCCGAGGCTGGGCCAGGGCCGCCTTC